CATCAGCTGAGAGACACTGAGGTTGCTTCCATCTCTTAGCTATTGTTAAAAGAGCAGCAACAAACATGGTTGTACAAATGTCTCTATAATAGGATGAGTCCTTTGGGTCTATGCCAAGGAGTGGTATAACTGGGTCATATGGTGGGTTCATTTTTAGTTTTTTTAAGGGTTCTCCACACTGTTTTCCATAGATGCTGCACAAGTTTGCAATCCCATCAGCAGTGAATGAGTGTTCCCCTTTCTCCACATCCTCACCAGCATTTGGTATCATTTGTTTTCTTGATCCTAGCCAGTCTGATTGGGGTAAGGTGATAACTTAGGGTAGTTTTAATTTGCATTTCCCTAATTATTAACGATGTTGAACACTTTTTGAGATATTTCTTAGCCATCTTTATTTCTTCTTTTAAGAACTCTCTGTTTAGACCTTTAGCCCATTCTTTTAATTGGGTCATTTGGTTCCTTGATTCTTTGTTTTTTGAGTTCTTTATATATTCTGGATGTTAAACCCCTGTCCGATGTGTCACTGGATTTTTTTAATTTTATGTGTATGAGTGTATTGCCTGCATGTATGTGCATGCACCCATGTCGTGCAATACTGCAGAAGTCAGAAGAGGGCTTCAGATTCCCCTGGAACTGGAGTTAAGGATGGTTTGTAGCCGACATGTGGGTGATGGGAATTGAACCCGGGTCCACTGCAAGAGCAGTCAGTACTGTTAGCCGCTGAGCCATCTCTCCAGTCCCATGTAGCTCCTTTTTAAATGCTATAAAGAAAGAACTAAATTATCAGTGTTATAATTTTTTTAAAAATTAAAAAATCCTTTTTTCGCATGTGTATTTAAGTATATGGTGTGTGTTTATATGCATGTCACATGCGTGCTCTCTCAGCTGAACTCCGAGCTCACCACTGTGACTGCTTTGGCTAGCCAGCTGGCCCTAGGTATCCCACCTCCACTTTTGGAGCAATGGGTTCTAAGCATCTGAACTCAGGTCCTCATGCTTACATGGCAAGAGCTTTAACCACTGAGCCATCTCCCCAGCTCCACAAATAATACATTCCTGAACAATGACTCGTATTTTTGTTATTTGAGCTTTAAATAAGTTAAGGTTAGGTTGAAATTGTTAATGATCAGTTTTATGTATATTAAACAAGCAACAGAAAGATAAAATGTAATAAAATCAATGAACATTTACTGGGTATAGGCAGTTTATTATGGGTAATGAGAAAATTTTTTGTCTCTAGATTCCAACTGCCCCAGATTTAAAAAAAAGCAATGGACTTTCATATTAAACTTTGATTCAGTTTATTCATAATTTAAGACTTGGAAATGAAATAACTTGTGAAAAGCTTCAATAAAAATTCATTAGAAAGTAATCAATAGTATTCAAAAATAAGGAAATCATATATATTAGAAGGCTTTGTTATTTATATGTGTATATATTTGTCTTAAAAATTTGCCAAAACTATTTGAAAAGGTCAAAGCTTATAATTTATTAAAAGCAACTTTATTAACCAAGTATTTTTGGCTAAACAACATATCTGTTTAAAAATTTAAACTACCAAGTATAACTATAAAGCCAAGAGACTGGCTTTTAAAATTAGCATAATACAATCTGTATAGTCAAGTTAGTGGCCATGCTTCATGGCTATTAACATCTGTCTTTCTGAGGATGTTACATAATCCTAAGGACATTTTGAAATCTCTCTCTCTTTTTTTTTTAACTTCCTTCAGAAGGATATGAGCTGCATAACTTAGTCATTTGATATAATCTTCTGATTTGATTTGCAATAGAATTCCAGTTCAACTGTCTTTTACACTGACAAGAACTAGAAATTTGGGAAAATCTTATTAATTTTTACTGAATGAAGATTTAGCACTTATGAGGATAGTCAAACAATGTTAATTCAGGTTCTGATAGTAATTCTGAAATTTGAACATTTATACACTTTTAGGATGTAAAAATTATAGTAAGTCCAAGTATACTGTAGACACTTTTTGCATGCTGATCATTTAAGAACAATATGATTTTTAAAAAAGCAAATGTGAGTCAACATTAAAAAGGGCTCTACAATTTAAAAAGGGTGAAGGTAACTTCATATGGGATTATGAAATTCATACTAGAGAACATCTGAAAATTTGTAGCTATGAGTTTTTAACTTACGCATGTAGCTTAGTTTCATAAACCCTCAGAATTGAGAAATGTCTTATAAGTCTCTCTGCATGAATCATTATAGTAGAAATTGTGCTTGGGTGTTAGAAATAGCCTTTATCATAAAATGTTATTTAATAGCACCAATATTACTTGAAAGTAAAGTGAAGCATCATAGGAATGTAGAATACAGATTAAATTTCTAACTATGTGAGAGAAAACATCTAGTAGACAAAATACCAACTACATATGAATTATTTTACAATCTTAGTCAGATGAACATCAGTCATAAAGCATTTGCTTAGGAAGTTAGAAGGGAAAGCTACACATAACATTTTTACATTCCATTCCAAAGAAGCTATGTAGGTACTTAGATATGACAGTGCACTCTTACCAATGAAGTTACCTTGCAGGAGATATATTACCTTGTTATATTAGATCAATAAGATGACAAACATGAAATGCTTTAAAGCAATCTGATTAGAGCAACATTTACATTAAGTACAAAATATACAGCAAAATGAAATACCTTGTTAAATAGGCTTACAGGCTAATATCTTAGAGAAACACATTTTCATGAATCTATTTTCACATTTATTTGTTAATTATATTTGATAGTTACTGTCATCACTATGTGCTTTTCTTACTGCCTGGTATTTCTAGAATGTTTGTATATATTACCTCTAGATATCCCTATGACGATATCTGTAAAAGTAATTTTAAAAGCATTACTCCAAGGGAAAAAGAAAATAACAAATTCCATACTTTTGTGGGCAATTCTGCACAAAATTATTGTAATATTTTGAGGAAACTGCCCCTTGACCATTATCAAATCATCTGTATAAAACGTATATTTTGTACTAAAGCAAAAACTGTCTTTAAGTGTTGCCAATACCGTATAACTCTTGTTATAAAATTGGGTAGTAATGGGAAAGGTGTTATTTGAAAAGATTTATCTGTGAACATTGATAAATGTGGGTACTCATCTTAACAGTCTTCTTAATAACGGTTGGGAAGTTGACAGAACAGTAGTGCTTTTATGTTACAACAACAAAGTTGCACAGTATCCAAAGCTCTGGACATGGGTCTAAGTGTTCAGTCATGGCTCAGTTGCATGCTGATGGAAGAGAAGCTGCGTCCTACGCTGGTACACAATGGGGTAATCACAGCATCTGTCACACTTTTCCATATCGTCTGCACTGAAGGCAGAACCATTAGGCAGGTCTTCACAAAAGGCATTAAAATCCTGGCATGGGGGAAGAGGGATATATAAGCATTGTTAGTGTTACCAAGTTTAGCAACTGCCATTTACACAGCCATGAAAAGATCTAATAATGACTTAATTTACTTTAATTTGGTGAGCAGCTCAAAATAAATAAATGGACAATGGTCAGAGCATTGAGAAGCACGAGAGATGCATTGCTTAAAAAATAAACAGGCACATAGATGATAAATACTAATATTCTTTCTATTAATGGGATGCTATTGGGAACAGTAAAACAAAAATAAACAGAGCAGCGTATTTTTCTGCCTGATCTCTACCCCTAAACACTAACCTGCTTAGTACTTCCTATTCCCCAAGGTTCTATTTCCTGCCTGCCTTTCCTGTGGCCTCTCTGCTTGCCTCACTTAGTAACCAGCTGCTGTGATCCTCCTGGTTGTGTTTCTAAGATTCTGAGACAAACTTCTTCATTTTCAAATTCATCCAAGAGTATGGTAAATGATACTTACATTTCTCCCTCTAGGACATAAGTCGAACTTGACCTTTCATTAATATTTGAGTGGAATTGAGTTTAGCATTATTATGCTTCGTATTGCTATTATCATCATTTAGATCTTTAGCTGTGCTTCATATTGTTAATTTTTCATGGCAATTACATACATTGAAAAAGGGTTCTGTGAGGTAGTTAAAAGAGATCAGGTATTTTATGCTCACATGATTTTTGTATCCTTTTCCTTAAACTAGCTTACTATTCTTATATTCCCTGGTTAGTGAATTTTCTGTATGATCTTTTGAATAGTGTTCTCTTTGAACATTAGAATGGTTGTGAATTCCTAGGCACCCCTGGGTCTCAGTGGAATCCTTATTATTACCTGAGTAGAGAGAAGGGAGTAGGTTGATTTTCTTGATTCATTTAAATAAAGATCTGTTATTCTTAGCCCAAAGATCAGCAACTATCTGTTTGATTGATATATTTTTAGAGTGCTGAATTATTCATATTGCCCATCTATACTGATTATATTTATCTTACCTTTTGTTTCAACAGTTAAATATTTGGAACAATTTTATAAGAAAATTAATTACAGGTGTTTTAGAGCTAAACAGCTGACTAGAAGCCTGGCTGATGGCAATGTTCCACTTCTTGTCCCATTATGCTTCTCCTTTGATGTATAGCTTTCCACATATTACTCAAACTCTAGAGAGGACAGGTGTCTCAAGGATAACCCTTATTATGCATCCTTGGGATGTCCACATGGTGCTGTTATTTAATGAATAATAGGTAGATCTATTTTTTAATCAGAATATATAATGAAAAAATATAACAAAAATTACCTCAAGTCGATTGAAGCCTGAAATTTATAAGAGAACGCTTCCTTGCTTCACTTAGAATCTAATGTGCTTTTTACTCTTCCTTAAGCTAATTATTTTCTGTCTTCATAACCCTTTAGATCTCTGGGTCCTAAAAAGGACTTAAACCCTTTCTAATTCAGCAAAGCACAGTTGCTCACATATAAGGATGTTAGCTAATTAGATGCAACAGATATATTTTATTTTCTTCAGGTCGCTCTGTACTCTCTTTGGATAAGAAAGTCCAATAATTCTTGAATATCGAATTGAATTATGTTCTCAACACTGTGAATCATTTCTCTTCTGAAATTTCACATAATTTAGAGTGATGCTAGTTCTGGTTGAAGTTCAGTGTGGTCAACTAAGCACTTCTTATGCAAAATTTATAATCTAAAAAAGTCTAGATCCTTCCATTGGATAATTAGTCTGAGTAAGGAATTGTTACTTGCTTTCATATTAACTATGGTGTCTTGGAGACTGTGTTGTCACAATAATGTGCTTTATTAAAACGCCTTATAGAAATGAGATGGCAACCACTGTATTTCCAGCAGTTGGACATCTATTTGCATTGCATTCCAGGAAAAAAATAAGTGTATAGATGGTTCAGTCACATTTCTTGGTTATGGTACATTTATTTCTAGTAACCTTATTTGCCAAATGGTGACTGTGTCTGACTGTGGCACCAAATCAAATTAATTCCCTAGTTCTAATGACCTATACATCTGGTGAAGGGTCCAATGTAGCCATACTTTTATTTCTTAATTTTTGTTGTTACTTATTTATGTAGAATCTAACATTGGGTCATATGCAGAGAAGTGTGTCTGTAGTCCCAGCTACTAAAGAGGGTAAGGCATGAGGATTGCTTGAGCCCTGGAGTTCAAGGCCAGCCTGTGCATCATTGTGAGATGCCATCTTCGATAGCAAACAAACAACTAACCAAACAACCTCTACTGCCACTACCACCACTATGACAATAACAACAAACCCCACAAAAACCTATAATCAGATGTGTGGTGACATTGTGCCTTGGTTACAAGTCCCTTTATTTTCTATTTCCTCAGCTTTGGTCAAAGAATGAATAATCTTTTGTTTGAAAAACATAAAACAAGAGCTGGAGAAGATGACACAGCAGATAAGAGAACTTGCTGCTCTTCCAGAGAACCCTGGTTTGGTTCCCAGCACCCATATTGCAGGGCTCACAACCACCTGTAACTCCAGTTCAAGGGATTCTTATACCCCCTCTTGGCTTCCAGGGGCACCTGTGTGCATGTGGTGTACATAGAGACAAGCAGGTGTACACACATACATATAAGTAAAAAGAAGTAATTTCTAAACTATTTGGCAGGGCATGGTGGTGCACACCTTTAATCCCAGCACTCAGGAGGCAGAGACAGGAACCAGAATATCTCCAAATAATTTACAGCTAATCACAGTGTAAAACAAAAAAAAAAAAAAAAAAAAAAAAAAAAGCTTACTCAATGGGCCTACTCTTCTACAAAGTCTCCCACTGACCTGCTCTTAGATGTCATGGAACTGTAATTCATTAATGATAACTCTTTTTATCAAGGCACAAACTCACATATAAGCACAGAATCATAGTTGCCTAATAACAAATATATGAGAGTTAAATATTAATGTCCCACATGACTGCAATTTGAGAAAACAAGCTGAAGTTAAATAATACATTTTATGGGCTCAAAAAGAAGTGGGCTGATGATTCACCACTGGAAACCAGACACAAAACCACTCCCTTTCTCAGGGAATCCAGGTGGAGAGGTATCATTTGGTTAATTTTAGTATTACTAATACCTTTTCACCATCTGGTAAATGAAAAAATTTTCTTTTTCCCAATTCTTCCATGAAAGTTTTAGGAAGGCCTAGCTTTGTTTAGTACAAATAATACCGTTCCATATTTCCAAAGGACTTCAAAGCCAGCATTTGGTTGTTTTTTCATATTTTGAATGTGAAAACAAACAACAAAAAACCCCAAAACAAAAGGAAGCCAAAAACCCCAAAACAAACCAACCCTGACATCAAGATTCAGTTGGCAGTTTTAATTAATTAAGAATATCAAATTTTATGTGCTGATTATGGCATTAAAAAATCCACATGTATGGGAATGCCAGATATGAGGTATCTCCATCTGGCCTATGTGGGTCTGCACATGTACAAGGCAGAGGGTTTCATTTCTCTGCCAGTCTTTTGGCACCTTCAACATGACTGTTTATAACCTCAAGTGACTAATCAGTGTTCTTTGTTTAACTTTTGGTCATTTAGTGAATTTTTATTTGTCTTTCAAAAGTCCCCTCCCCCCATTTTTGAAGACTTCTTTTTCTTACAAAGCTGCCCTTGTTCCCCAACTTCTCTATTGGAGTTTGTGTTCTCACCATTCACATCTTTGCCTAAACAACAGCCCTAGTAGGCTGTGGGAAGCTGAAGGAGAGCTCAAGTCTGTGTTCTGCAAACCAAGCACCTGCTAGATTTAGTTCATAGAACTAAGTAACTAACTGACTAAATAAATTAGAGACTGTAATGAGGCATGAAGAGTTGGCTGGTAACTTCTAACAATGAACACTGAGACTGTATTGAGGTGTGGCAAGGTCACATAAGAACTACATGGAGACACCTGAGTTTACACATGTTGCCATGACCACCCTGAGGTACCAACTTGAAAACCACTGTGATAGCGGGATGATTCTTGCTCTTCTTAGTGGATAACCTTTAACATAACAACAGAGTTTCTTGGAGAGTATGATGCTGACCTTAAGGAAGTTTTGAATGCTTTAAAATGGTCCATAAAATTTATGATGCATTTTGAGTGTGACTAAAGTTATAACACATCCATGTCCAGTGGCTGCCATATTTCTTTTCCCTGTAACTACATGCCATCCTCATGGAACAGTAATATAATGGCCATCATACTGCACTATTGTGTACCTCGAGGTTTTCTTCATCTGTGCGGGATGTGGGACACTGCAATCACACCCATCTCCCATCTCCTCTGGGCCCATGATTGCCCGCTGCCCACAGCAGGACCAGAGAGACCCGTCCACAGCACTGTTATCCAGGCCTGCCGTCCTTGCTGGGTCATACTGTCAGTGGTGTTCTGCTCTGAGATCACTTTGTTTTACCCAAGCACAGATGATGACTGAATTAAAGGCAATGTAAGAAAGAGCCCTGCCCAGAACCACAAGCACAAGTCACAACAGGGCCCTGAGAGAGCAGCCCGTGGCAGGAAGCATGCTTCCAGCCCCCACCTCCGCACTCAGATCAGCCTTGTTCATGGAAGGAAAAATCACACCCAGGAAAGAGGCCCTCGCTTCCTTCTGTTTAAACTCTCAGCCGGGCTATTATTCTAAAGAAAGCACATTGCCTTTCAAGGCCTTCCAGGTTTTGCTACTGATTGGGAACTGCTGCGTATTCTTCCCTCTGCAAACCCGCCTGGGAAATAGGAAGGGCAGGGGGCAGGTGGCAAAACATCGATACATTTCCAAAGGCCGAACCACCCCTTGTTTCCCTTCTCACCAGATGTGTAGACAGCTGAGGGTGGCAAACAGTATCCCCGCGGCGAAGGCTAAGGGGACGGCCAGGAACACGGTCAGGAACTTGTAGATCACGTACTTGCTGATTTCAAAGAGGGCATGGCTGCAGATCCACACTTTGTCAAAGGAATGCGTAGTCACAGGCTCTGCGATCACATCCTCGAAGCCCAGCTGCAGAGACAAGACGCCCGGGACCTGAGCTGTCCCCCAGCCGGTCTCCCAGGGAACTAGAAATGCTCTTAGCAGGGGAAGCTAGAAAGAAGGACCTGGCTAGCCTATCCCCAGCCTTAGGGTCATGGGGGGCTCACCGGATTGGGCTAAGCATTCCTGGCTGTTAGGGACCCGGGTGGTGAGACCTAAGCAGGGGGTGGGTGGGACGCAGTGACCGGGGTGGGGACGCGGTGAGGTAGAGGGGCTCGCGCCAGGTGGCCGCCGCCCAGAACTTTACCTTGAGATGCGAGTTGAGTTGGCGCGGGTCGCGATCGTGGCCCGAGTCCACGCACTTCTCGGGGTCGGCGTAGTCGACGCCGCTGTGGTGGCTATAGGCGTCGTCGTCCATGAAGAGCTGCACGTCGGCCTTTTCGGTCTCCAGCCCCATGGCGGCAGGCGCTGCTCGAGCGGCTCCGGACGGTCCCCGGCTGCCCGGCCTCCCTTTCCAGTGGCGCCCCGCCCCGCCCCACCTCGCCTGCCTCGCCCGGCGCTGCCCTTCCAGCTGCGGGTTCCAGCGCCTGGCCCCAGCAGCCCAGAGCCCCGCCCCGCCCGGCCGCCCGGCCTCCCGGGTGGGAGGACACCTAGCCCGCTGCCTCCAGTGCCCCTATCGCGGGCAAGAGAGCAGATGAATCCCCTCCCTGCCCTACGGAGCCGGGCCAAGCAGGCCCACACAGCCAGGAGGGCCTCCCGGGTCTCTTGGCTTAGAGGCTCAGACTCCAATGCTTAAGGGCTGGCAGGTTGTCCAGGGAGAGGCGTGTACTGGACAGAGCCTCGAGTGAGGGGCATTGGAAAGGAAGGCCTGTGCCCCCTCCTCTGCGCCTCGGTTTACCGGGTGGACTTTCGTAGGCCTGTGTGGCACCTGCTTCACAGAGCTATCATGTAAGGAATCCATGTTAATTCATGCAAAACTTTCACATGCTTTCTAACTCACAGTAAGCTTCCAATCAACTGCTCTTGAGGCAAGGAGCCCCAGAGTGCTTGATCCACAGGGGATGACACAGTTCTCCTGACCTTCGGTTATGCCAGAGTTGGGTAGGTGAGACATCAGTTTCCAGTACTTAGCACCTTCATACCCCAAGGGGAGGTCTGCTTCACCCACACTCCCCACTAAACTACAACTAACTCATCGTTTTCTCTTGAGCTGGATTCTGTTGAAAGAGTTCAAGAATCGCTAAGATTCAGACACTTTTGTAATGCCCACAAAATAGCACTGTAGACAAAGTTAAAGCATAAAACCCTTACATGAGTGAGCCTGCTGATCATTCTCTCAAGAGCGTTCAGAAGGGAGGAGTTCCCATGTTCATAAATGGTTTACAGTCAGGTGAACTTAGATGTGTGCCCGAGGGAACACAGTGAAAATAGACTTTGGAAGATGCTTGCAGCTAGCTCAGCGCACAAGAGATAAGACTGGAGTAAATATTGCCAAATACAGTGGGTTTAGAGCCCCCTGCACATATCAAATCTCCTGCAGTAGTTGAATTTGAAGGATTCTTTGGAAAGAAAGAAACTCTTTTGGAAGAATAAGAAAGATTACAAAAAGCGGACAGGAGCCGAACAGAGAAAACGTTTTGGAGGCAAAATTTTGTATTTGTAATAATTAAACAAAACGTTTGCCTACTGTCAGTAGGCCCCTGCCCCCATCTTCCCTCACCCAGTCCTGTTGCTCATGCCCCTTTGGCTTAGACTTTCCCTTCCATTTTATGTTCAGTTAAATCCAAAGTGATGGTGTAGGCATTGCACTTACTGTTTTTTTAGTTCTTCCCGCTCCTTCATTCACCCAGCAGGCCGACTTTCTGAGAATTAGATCGAGTCTAGATGCTACCCACAGAAGACAGGAATCCTTAGGGGAGGACATAGAATTGATTGCTGCAATATAGAAGAGATAGTTTGCAATGATTGACATTTTGTAAAACTTAATTTTCCTCAAAACAGTAGCTCCATATTTTAAGATATTTCATCCAAAGAATAAAGTCATGCCTACATGGCTAGACTGGTCTGGGCAGTGGCTGAAAATCTGGCTATAGGGCTTCTTCTCTTCCAAATCTTTGTCTTTGGGGCACATTTCCACGGAATTATTAAGACAATTGAAGGAATCATCTTAATCATTATGCTCCACTTCAGGCAATGCAGAAAGGAGGTCAGTAAGAAGGTGAGACTGACATGCCTTCATAGGAGAGTTTAGATTACAGATTCATTTGTAAGATGACAGTTATTTATAAAAAAGATACCTCTACAGCCCAAGTTAAATAGAACCCACCTAGATTTGGTATATGTCATATAGGATTAAAACAGGATAAGTTGGGTCAGGATTCAGCTCTTATTTTGATGAAGTTCTTGTCCATTTCATCATTTTAATACATCACTTTTTTGGAAAAGCTACTAAAAACTATTCTGCCCATCCTATTAGTAAATGCGCAGTCAGTGCAGTTACTGTTGTCCTAGAGGGCCTTAAACCAGAGTGATTCCCACAGCAACTGGACCCACCCATATTAATATGACAGACTTTCCAGGAAAGGAAAGGAAAGGGAGATGGGTTAGAGATAGAGCACTCACTGGTACCTCCCAAATCACAGGATTGCTTTCCAACGAGCCTTTAAAATGTTTTCTATGTGTGGGGATGGGGAACCAAAATATCATGAGAAATTCGTTTTGGTGCCATTATTTTCTGGCTGCTGTCATATATCATGGCTTTGGACCAGAGGGATGAATTCTAGATGGTGTATTAAGATACTTGAGGAACACAATTTGATAACAGGTTAGTATTTGTGAGTAGGATCATTTCGTTCCCTGATTTTCCCATCTCACTAAAAGAAGTTCTTATTGAAAATTATTTGTGACTACGCTGATGAATAAAACCGATTTTCTCCTTCAGTTTTCTTTTCAAGCCGCAATTCTGTTAATCAGAATCTCCTTTTCAAAGTGCATTTATATAAATTGGTTATTAATGGAAGTAAGTTCTTGATACTTAGAGCTCTTGTGTTAGTCGGGGTTGCTCAGCCTCTACACCATTGGTATCTTGGGCTAGATCATTCTGTGTTGTGAGGGGTTGTCCCATGAACTGTAGGATGTTTAGCAACATTCCTGGCTTCTGCCCCACTAGATGTCAATAATACTGCCCAGTTATGACAACCTCAAATGTTTCCAGATATTGCCAAATGTCCCTTGAGGACCCAAATCACCTTTTCTCTCCTTCCCTGGAACTAATAGCCACCAAATTAGATACCATTGAAATAATGTCCCGTTAATGGGAAAAAATTAAGGTCTGGCTTTACATTTATAAGTCCACGCTTAAGACAAAGCTTGGAATTGTGTTAATAATTTATCAGAAACCCCATTTCTTTTAAAATTTAAGCTTAAGGATGTTTGCCATCTCTTTAATATTTTCAAAAGAATCCATTATCAGCCCGGCGTGGTGGCACACGCCTTTAATCTCAGCAGAGGCAGGCAGGTATCTGTGAGTTCAAGGGCAGCCTGGTCTACATAGTGAGTTCCAGGACAGCGAAACCCTCTCACAAAAAAACAAAAAAAAAAAAAAAAAAAAAAAAAGAAAAAAAGAAAAGAATCCATTATCAAAATTTATTTCAACACATACTGGTATTAGTTAGTTAAAGGATATAAAGATCAATCAAGAGACCCCAAAAAAGGAATTTCCAAGCCCAGTCTATTTTTGTTATACCTCCTACACTTTTCCTCACAAAGGCATGACTTATTTAAATAATTTTATCTAGAAAACCACAGGGATTTGGGGTGTCTTGTTTGTTTGTTTATTTATTTATTTATTTATTTATTTATTTATTTTTGTCTTTTTGAGACAGGGTCTCCTTGTAGTTCCAGCTGGCCTCCCAAGTGCTGGGATTATTTATTTTTAAAATTTTTTTAATTGAATTTTTGTGTATTTCATACATAAAATCATCTTTATACACCCCTCCTCTCTTCCCCTTTGGCATCCTCCTATAGCCACCCCAGGAGTTCATGCATTCTGTCATTTGTATTAAGGCTTATTATGTAGAGTTAGTGTCCCTCAATGTAAGTTCATCTCCTGGGGTTTAGTCAGCCTATCTAGAGTCCCTCCTTTCAAGAAGATCAGCTCTTCCTCACCCAGCAGTAATCAGATGCCAATAATTCTTTGACTGAGATTGGTGCTTGCTGTTCATTTCCACAGTTCTATGCTGGGTTTTTGTCTGCCTAAGTTTGCATGGGTCTTGTGCATGCTGACACCATTGCTGTGGTTTGTATGAGAAGGGTCCCGGGCATGTGTAGAACTATTTCTGTATCATCATGTACCTCCTCCCTGGCTCCTACAATCTGTCTGCCCCCTCTTCTGCAATGGTTCCTGAGTCCTGGGTGGGTGTACCTCAATATAGGAGTCCTGTCCAAGGACCCACACTCTGCCAACTCTTATCTCTGCTTTTTGGCTGTTTGTGGCCTTTTGTGTTCCTGGCCCTCTGTTGCATGAGGGAACTTCATTGATGAGAATTGAAAGATGCATTAGTGCATCTTCATCCCTTGTTCTATGTTCCGTGAGTCTTAGGTATAGAGGTTGCATCCTAGATGTGCCACTTAGGCTTGGGCAATTCACAGAGAATCTCTGTGACCAGTAGTGTAAATCTGTAATAATCTCTGTCTGTTGAAAAAGAAACTACTCTGATGGGTGGTGACTGGGATACTTGTCTGTAAATTTAAGGATTCATATTTTGCACACAGTAACAAATTACATTGATTGATATTCTCCCTTACCACCTTGTGTATTGCTCTCCAAAGCTATGAGATCTAGCTTTCAGGGGAGGTGGCTTCCAGGAAAGTTCCAGCTCCATTGCTCCAAATTCTGTGGCCAAAGTATGTCCTGTCTTCAGCAATAGGGTCTTACCATCAAGTTCTGAGAGATAATCAAGGACTGTGGCAATAGCCTGTATAATTTTGGGAGTCTCTTAAACTACCCTGGACAACAACGCAAAGGAAGATTTCTCCTGTTTGGCACTGTTTCTTGTTATGTAGTCTTCAACTATACTCACAGACTCATGTAGGGATATTTTATGCGCAGTTTTTTAGTAGGTTTTTGGACTAATACGATTCCCTCTTTTTTTTTTTCAATACTAGTTAGGCACCATTTAAGTCTCCTCTTTCTCTCCCTGTCTTATCCTCCTTCCCTGCCCTTTAAGGTGCCTCCATTTCCCCCATTTCTCCCTTGATAATTTTTGTATGCTATGGTCCCACCTCTTTTGAGTTCCTTCTTCCCCTTTATTCCCATTGTTCTTTATAGAGCCCTCCTTCTCCCCTCCCCCTTTAACTACCCTTTTTTATACTTCTCTCTTAGTAATGCCTGTCTCCTACTATTCTTCTCTCTTGGATTCCTTCTTTCCCTTTACCTCCGTGGTTTCCTTCCATTTTCCTGGTCCCTGCAGTTACATCAATATGTGCACTCACTTATAAGGATTTGGTGCTAGGATCCACAGATGAGGAACATATGTTTTTTGTTTTCCTGAGACTGGTACTTAACTTAGTATAAC